TTCGTAGGTCTCGCCTCTACAGCCTGTTCATCTCCTCTCCACCCTGGTAGCCTCCATCTCCTCTCCACCCTGGTAGCCTCCATCTCCTCTCCACCCTGGTAGCCTCCATCTCCTCTCCACCCTGGTAGCCTCCATCTCCTCTCCACCCTGGTAGCCTCCATCTCCTCTCCACCCTGGTAGCCTCCATCTCCTCTCCACCCTGGTAGCCTCCATCTCCTCTCCACCCTGGTAGCCTCCATCTCCTCTCCACCCTGGTAGCCTCCATCTCCTCTCCACCCTGGTAGCCTCCATCTCCTCTCCACCCTGGTAGCCTCCATCTCCTCTCCACCCTGGTAGCCTCCATCTCCTCTCCACCCTGGTAGCCTCCATCTCCTCTCCACCCTGGTAGCCTCCATCTCCTCTCCACCCTGGTAGCCTCCATCTCCTCTCCACCCTGGTAGCCTCCATCTCCTCTCCACCCTGGTAGCCTCCATCTCCTCTCCACCCTGGTAGCCTCCATCTCCTCTCCACCCTGGTAGCCTCCATCTCCTCTCCACCCTGGTAGCCTCCATCTCCTCTCCACCCTGGTAGCCTCCATCTCCTCTCCACCCTGGTAGCCTCCATCTCCTCTCCACCCTGGTAGCCTCCATCTCCTCTCCACCCTGGTAGCCTCCATCTCCTCTCCACCCTGGTAGCCTCCATCTCCTCTCCACCCTGGTAGCCTCCATCTCCTCTCCACCCTGGTAGCCTCCATCTCCTCTCCACCCTGGTAGCCTCCATCTCCTCTCCACCCTGGTAGCCTCCATCTCCTCTCCACCCTGGTAGCCTCCATCTCCTCTCCACCCTGGTAGCCTCCATCTCCTCTCCACCCTGGTAGCCTCCATCTCCTCTCCACCCTGGTAGCCTCCATCTCCTCTCCACCCTGGTAGCCTCCATCTCCTCTCCACCCTGGTAGCCTCCATCTCCTCTCCACCCTGGTAGCCTCCATCTCCTCTCCACCTTTCCTCTGCCTCGCTCATCCCACTTGCTCTTTTCGTTGCCCGTCTCCCACCTTTTCCCCCTTCATTACACGAACCATAGATTGGGATTGACACGGATCGGGACAATTTCACGAGTCCATGGGAGGCGGTGGAGTATGGGCTGGTGATGGGCGCCGACAACCCGAACCTGACCAATCGCATTGCCATCTTGTTCCTACCCATTATTTTAACCTTATCTGTCCTGACCAAACACATTGCCTCTCCCTTAATCCCCCACCCACAGATTGAGATTGACACAGACCGAGACAATTTCATGAGCCCATAGAAGCAGTGGAGTATGGGCTGGTGGACGGGTGGTGATGAGCGCCCATATCCCCAACCCGTTCACATTCTCTCTTGTCGTGGTCTTAATACCACCTTTCCTGACCCTTTCCCTTCCATCCGCCCCGATTGCAGATTGAGATCGACACGGATCATGACAGTTTCATGAGTCCATGGGAGGCGGTGGAGTATGGGCTGGTGGACGGGGTGATGGGCGGCGATAACCCCAACCTGACCACACACACTGGCATCGTGTGCCGGACTACTGTCGTAACCTCTTCTGTCTCTCCTCTCCTGTACCATGGACTGTCTCTCCCTTTCTCACTCCAACACAGATTGAGATCGACACGGACAGGGACAACTTCATGAGTCCATGGGAGGCGGTGGAGTATGGGCTGGTGGACGGGGTGATGGGCGGCGATAACCCCAACCTGACCACACACACTGGCATCGTGTGCCGGACTACTGTCGTAACCTCTTCTGTCTCTCCTCTCCTGTACCATGGACTGTCTCTCCCTTTCTCACTCCAACACAGATTGAGATCGACACGGACAGGGACAACTTCATGAGTCCATGGGAGGCGGTGGAGTATGGGCTGGTGGACGGGGTGATGGGCGCTGACAACCCGAACCTGGTGGCGCCGGTGGGGGAGGTGAGGGAGCCGCCCAAGACCAAGGTGTGGGACCTGTGGACCATCAAGGAGGCCAAGGAGAGGAAGAACCTGCCGGGGGAGGACCAGCTCCTGAAAAAGTAGTGTCGTTGGGAACTAGGGTTACAGTAGTATGGTATGGAATTATTTACAGTATCTGGTTGTATCAGCATGTCAGCCGTACCGTAGTTCCTTTCATATTGGAGTGTTATGTGGTAATTCTATGTGGAGTGATCAAAGCTCATACGCATGCATGCACATACACATACATGTGGACTTTTACATACAAGGTTTGAAATAATTTTGTTGATCAAATGGATGGTTTATACGCTTGTCAACATTCTTATGTGACTCTGCTAGATGAATTGTTGTTTGTTTGTTTGTTTGTGCTCTTGAAGTATGTTTAAAATATACTAAAGTTCCATGTGATAGTTGGATGTTAATTGTTTGTGTGATTGATTGTTTTGGTGAACTTCAAGCAGAGGTTTGCAGCAGCTTGAGTATGAGGTGCCAATCATGCATGAAGTACGAGGTTGAGCGTTCTGAAACACACGAAACAGTCTGTATCAGGTACAACCGCACAGCCTTTCGAGTCGGCTTCAGCTCGTAGCGCACTAAAATACGCGGTTTGTAATAAAGTGCGGTGGACCTTGTCTTTTGTGTATGTGAAAGAAGCACTTCAGGGCGGATTCCGAAGTCCTGGTTTCGCGAGAGGTCACACACAAGGGTCTGCTTTGTGTTGCAACCCTCCTCTGGTAGTGGACTTGCTGGTGAGTTGGTGCAAATGATTTACCACAAGTTTCTGTCCTCATGTGCTGTTCTCCTTCGCGGATCTTGATTCGCTTCATTCGCGAATGTGATTGTGCGGGTCCCAGTTTTTGGGAACCACTACCCAACCCAACCATCGAAATTTCCCGTCCATTCAGCTCAGATGCAACAAGGGTCAAAACAGCACCAGCCAAACGGATCGGTTTTGAAATGGTTACGCTCATCAATGACATTTTTGGTGTGTATGCACCAACCCCCAACGTCCATGAAGAACCAAACCCTTGATGTGTGAATCAAATGGTGCAACGTGATTGGGTGACGAAGAAAGACCTAGATTCCTACGCGAAATTGCTGCAGGCGAGGGTTTGCTTGCATGGCTGCAATGTGGAATGCAACCAGTTGGAATGCTTCCCCCCCCTACCAACTCACCTATCACAATTTTCTACTTAGCTCAGATGCAGTGACTGTTTATTTGAGTGGTCCTTCCCTGCCAGAGTTAGCTCTTTTAGCTGGTCTTCAGTGCCTGAACAGTTTTCCAGCAGCAAGGTCCCTGCCATGATGCTGGTTTGTTCGAGGATTCTGTTTTTGGATCTAGGCTTGACATCTTCGCAGCCATTTTTTCAACCAGATCCGTTTTCCTCCAGGTTTCCACTTCAACTTCAACTTGAAGCTGTAAAGACTTTCCGCTGCAGAACGCTCCTCGGTGGATGCTAACAATACGGCGGCAACCATGGAGGTAGACATGGAATTCTCGCCTCCGTCGCCGCACACTCTATCCATGAAATTGGGCGGTCGGCGTCCAACGAAAAGACACTAAACCAGCGTTTTTTTTTTTTTTTTTTTTTTTTTTTTGGACGGCCAACCTGAGTGACGGAGCGAGCGGCTCGTATAACAGTTCATGCACTGAGTTGTCTGCCTCCCCAGTCCTCTGTCAGTCAGTGGTAGTTGTTCGTTGTCGTTCTTGCTTCACCCTGCTGTTTTCCAGACAGCTACTAATCAAAACAGACTAAAATTATTTGAAGCAGGATCTTGTCTGAGAGCAGTCACTGATGAGATACGGTATCTAGTAATAGGCTCTTGATATTTTTTGAGGCGCCTCAAAAACAGACTAAAATTATTTGAAGCAGGATCATCTTGTCTGAGAGCAGTATCTAGCAGGATCGTTTCTGAGAGCAGTATTTAGCATGATCTTGTCTGAGAGCATTATTTAGCAGGCTCTTGACAAGCCATGTGGTCAACGCAGGGCGGTCAAACTACCGCTGCCAGCAGCAGTGAATTTCAAGACGGCAGAGGGAGGGAGCATCATCGTCCCCATGATACTACTAGCATCAGGCAGTCAGATCAAACACCCGGGCCGGGCCAAGGACACTCTACTATTCAAAATAGAATTAGTCAGGCTCCCTCTGTTCCTTCCCTGATCCACCCAGGATTTAATTATTTCAACCCCTATAATGTGAGTGGAGCAGGGAGTTCCACCCACCCTAGTGCGTCTAGTACTGCCAGCGTTCCAGGGGGGGTTTTAGGACACTACAACGCACCAAACCCCTTGGCCCCGCATCAGCTCGCCGCGTTTGCAGCTTACTACGCTTCTATATCGCCTTTCCTCTCCGCGCCTCCCTCTTTTCCCCACCCTCTGCTGGACTTCTTTAATTATCGTTCCGATACAGTTATGACCCACTCGAGTTACCAGCAAACTACAAGCACTCTTATGGCCCCGCCCTTCATCTCAGCCGTCCATCAGCAACGGCAAGATCAGGGCTGGTTACCACCGTCGCTGATGCCACGTGGCTCCTCTCCGCTCCCTGTTCCCAGTATCCGCGCCGGCAACACGGCCGACATGGCACAACCGTTTCCCGGACATAATAGATGTAGCAGTACCACTGGGAACAGTAGGCAGGACGCTAGTAATATCGCAGCAGCGCCGGCATTGGCAGAAACAGCAGCGACCGTTAGACCCACTCCATTTGCAGCCGGAGCAGTGGCAGCAGCTGCAGGAGCAGAAAATGTAGGGGGGCGAGGAACCCAAGGAAGCACCATCTCTGCATGGGGCGCTCAATCATGGGCTCCTGGTGGTGGTGGTAACCCTGGTGGTGGTGGTAACCCTGGTGTCGTCAACAGCTTCTGGAGTGGTGGTGCGCAGATGGCGGCGATGACAGCAGGGATGGGGATCGATGGAGTTGGTGCCAGGTAGGGTTTCAAGGGAACGAGGGAGGGAGGGGTGGTAGGGATAAGGGACAACAGGGTGGGGGGTCCTTCCATGGCGGCAGGGATGGGGATCGATGGCGCTGGTGCCAGGTAGGGTTTCAAGGGAAAGTAGGGGAGGGAGGGTGGGAGGGGAGAGAGGGGAGGGAGGGAGGGGAGGGAGGGTGGGAGGGGAGGGAGGGAGGGGAGGGAGGGAGAGGAAGGGAGGGGACGGAGGGAGGGAGGGAGGAGAAGGGAGGGGAGGGAGGGAGGGAGGGAAGAGAGGGGAGGAGGGAGGGGGGGGAGGGGGGGATGGAGAGAGGGGAAGGGAGGGGAGGGAGAGAGAGAGGGGAGGAGGGAAGAGAGAGAAGGGAGGGGAGGGAAGAGGGAGAGAGAAGGGAGGGGAAGGAGAGAAGGGAGCAGAGGGAAGAGAAGAGGGATAGGAGGGATAGGGGGATAGGAGGATACAGAGAGAAGGGATGGGAGGGAAGGGAGGGGGGGAGGAAGGAGGGAGGAAGGAGGGAGGGAGAGACGGACGGGACGGACGGACGGGACCGGTGGAGGAAGGGAAGAGAGAGAATGCAGGAAGGAGTGGAGGGAAGAGAGAGAAAGGGAGGCAAGGGAGGGGAGGGAGGGAGGGAATGACCCCTGCTGCTCGTATCTTGATTCCCTTCCCCTTGCACCTCCTCCTCCCCGCCTCCTTTCCTTCCCACCTTCCTCCACCCCCGCCCAACTCCCCTTGTTCCTGCACCTCCCTCCCTCCACCACCTCCCTTCACCCATCTCCCATCCTTGTGCCATTTCAGGCCCTCAGTGGTTCATGTGGGGCAGCAGACGCCATCTAACCGCTCTGCACCGCATACTGCAGCGCCTACATCTGCCACTGCCACTACCGCCAACGTCGCTGCCACAAACACGGGCACAAACACCGGCACAAACACCTTTACAAACAGCAGCAGCACTATCCTGATTAGCAGAGCCAGCGCCGGCGGGGATTCTGCCGCCAATGCAAATCCTGTTGTTGCCGCAGCCGCGACCGCCGCGACCGCCGCTGCCGCTACTCCTGCTGTGCCCACGCCTGCACCTGCTTCTGCTGCGTCAGCATCAGCAGCAGCAGCAGCAGCAGCAGCTGCTGCTGCTGCCATTGCTGCTGCTCCTGCTGCTGCAGGCAGAGCCAGCAGCCCACCAGCAGTGTCAGCGTCAGCACCGCGGCTGAGTGCACCGGACGACGGGTACCACTGGCACAAGTACGGACAGAAGTGCCTCATGGAGCGAGAATATGCCAGGTGAGTGCAGCAACTGGGCGGGACTTGCTGCATACCCCTCGTGCGGGCAGATTTTCGTGTTATGAGTCGACTCAAAACACGAACCATCGACACTCCCCTTGTTCGAGCAGATTTCTGAAGCGCCTAAAAAACCCTCCCATGTCCTCCTCCTCCCCCTCTCCACCCCCCCCCTCCACCCTCCCCTCTCCACCCTCCCCTCTCCTCCCTCTCTCCTCTCTCCATCAGGGCGTATTTCCGCTGTGCCAAGCACACAATCGGCTGCACAGCAAAAAAGACCATCGACATTCCCCTCGTATGGTAGTTTTCAAGGTACCTAATAGATTCTCTCCTTTCCTCTCTACTCCTCCTCAGGGCGTATTTCCGCTGTGCCAAGTACACAATCGGCTGCACGGCAAAAGAAACCATGGACATTCCCCTCGTGCGAGCAGCCATTTCCGGGGGGCTGAGAATAGTCTACTCGGGAAAGCACTGCCACCCGCCCGCGCCCAACATTTCCTTTCCTCCTGTTGCCATTCCCGGCTCGGCCATGATCACTGTCTCTCCGTCTGCTGTCATATCTTTTGTCCCCCCTCCTCCCTCTTCCCTCCTCCCCCCTCCTCTATTTTCCAGGGCATATTTCCGCTGTGCCAAGTACACCATTGGCTGCACAGCAAAGAAAACCATCGACATCCCACTGGTGCGGGCAGCCGTTTCGGGGGGTCTGAGAATTGTCTACTCAGGCACTGCCACCCTCCCGCGCGCAACATCCCCTTCCCGCCTGTTGCCGTGCCTGGCTCGGCCACGATCACTGTCTCTCCGTCTGCTGTGTGTCTGCTGCCGCGGCTAGTGATCCGGCTTCTCACAGTGACGGTGGCGGTGCTGCTGCTGATGGTGCTGTTGCTGGTGGTTCTGCTGCTGCTGCTGCTGCTGCTGCTGTGCTGCTGCTGCTGCTGACGGTGGCGGTGCTGCTGCTGCTGCTGCTGTTGCTGCTGCTGGTGCTGCTGCTGACTGTGGCGGTGCTGCTGTGCTGATGCTGTTGCTTCTGATGCTGCTGCTGATGGGGCCGTTGCCGTGCCTGGCTCTGCCACAATGACTGTCTCTGCTTCTGCACTCACGTCTGCTCCGAGTGAGTCTGCTGCTGCTAGTCATCCCGCATCTCGCAGTAGTGACATTGGTGCTGCTGCTGCTGCTGCTGCGGCTGGTGTCGTTGCTGCTGCTGGCGGTGCTGCTGCTGGCGGTGCTGCTGCTGGCGGTGCTGATGCCACTGCTGATGCCACTGCTGATGCCACTGCTGATGCTGCTGCAGCTGCTAGTGCCGCGGCTGCTGGTGCTTCCACTGCTGGTGCTACTGAGTCGACTTGTGCTGCTGATGGTCTTGGTGGTACAGTTGCTGACGGTGAGAGGGCAAAACAGGCCAGTCCAGCATTGGTTTCCAGTCCAGCATTGGTTTCCAGTCCGGGCAATACTGGGAGGAAGATCTCTCTGCGTGCTTCAGATGCTCGCGGGACCAATTTGCAGGCTTCTGGGGTGCATGAACTGGGAACTGGAAGTGTTTTGAGTCGACTCAAAACACACCTGCAGGCTTCTGAGGCGGATGAACAGGGAACTGGAGGGAGAAGGATCAGGAGATTTAAAGTAGCTGCAGCAGGGTGCATGAAGAGAGGGGAGGCGGAGACGGCATGAGAGGAGGGAAGAAAAGCGAGGGGGAGGAGGGGACGGAGGGGACGGAGGGAGAGGGAGTGGGTGGGCGAGAGGAGAGGATGGGATGGAGGGTGAGAGAGGAGGAGGGGGGGGAGAGGGAGGAGATGGAGGTAGAATGAGTGGTGGGAGGAGTGAGAGTGAGGGTGGCATGGCAAGAGATAGAGATAACAGCCTCGGTAGGAGTGAGAGTGAAGGAAGGATTGAGAGGAGTGGGAGGAGTGAGAGTAGTGGGAGGAGCGAGAGTAGTGGGAGGAGTGAGAGTAGTGGGAGGAGCGCGAGAGTAGTGGGAGGAGTGAGGAGTGGGAGGTGCGAGAGTGGGGGGGGTTGTGGGAGTGGTGAGGAGGGAGATAAGGCAGGGCAGGGGAATGAGGGGGGAAGAGCGGGGCGAAGGAACGAGGTGGGGAGAGTGGAGCCGCGGAATAAGAGGAGGGGGGTGGGGCAGGGGATTGAGGGGGTTGGAGTGGGGCGGAGGAGTGGGGATGAGGGAGTGGGGCGGAGGAGTGGGGATGAGGGAGTGGAAAGAGAGGCAGAGCCCCTGCAGATGCCGGGTCTTACAGATGCCACACAGATGTCTTCTTTTCCTTCCGTCCTGCTCCTGCAGCACCCCCTCCTTCTGCACTCCAGGAACGGCAGCAGCACAAGCAACAGCAGCAACAGGAACCAGAAAAAGCAGCAACAGCATAAACAACAAACGCGGCAACAGCAGGAATATCAGGATGTACAGCAGCAACGGCATAAACAAGAAACGCCAAGCAACGGCAGGAAACAACAGCAGCAACAGCACCTGCAGGAACAAATGCAACCGCAATGTCAGCGACAGCAGCAGCAGCAGCAGCAACGCCAACAGGAAGAGAAGCAACAGCACGAACAACAGCTAGAACAAAAGCAGCAACAGCAGCAACAACAGGGGCAGCTGAACCAACAGCAGCAGACACAGCAGCGACAAAATCAACAGCAGCAACCGCCGCAGGAAGCACAACAGCAACTGTTGGTGCAAGAAGCGCTGCTACAGGACCCTTCGTTTGTGTCACACGTGCTCTCTGTTGTGAGGCGAGAGGTGGCTGCAGCAGCCGCAGCCGCTGGCGGTGGTGCTGGTATGGCGGTGGTGGTGGTATTGGCAGTGGTGGTGGTATTGGCAGTGGTGGTGGTATTGGCAGTGGTGGTGGTATTAGCAGTGGTGGTGGTACTGGCGGTGGTATAGGCGGTGGTGCTGGTTCTGGTAGTGTTGTTAGTCATGGTGCTACTCATGCTGCAGCTGCTGGTGCTGTTGCTGCTGCCCCCGCTGCTGTTGCTGCTGCTGCTGCCACAGAGGCTGCTGTGGGCGCATCAGGTGTTGCAGTTGCTTCCGCCTCCCACACCACCAGAGAACTACCAGCAGCAGCAGCAGCAGCAGCAGCTGCAGCAGCAACAACAGCAGCAGCAGCACCCACAGCACCACCAGGAGCAGCAACAGCAGCAGCAGCAGCAGCAGCACCAACACATGTGCCAACCCAGCCATTCCTCCCGCCCTTCAACCTTGTACCAGCACAGTCTCTGCCCCAACCTCCCATCCATCCTCAACCCGTCCTACAACCTCCCATCCACCCCAACTCACTCTCTGCTCTTACCTCACTCTCTTGGCCTTCTCAACATCCTCTTCCTCAATCCCTCTTTCCTTATCCTTTGGGGAGCTCGTTCCCCTCCTCCACACTCCCATTTCCCTCCTCAGTGCCCCCTTTCCTTCCTCCACACCCCCATCCTCTCTCTCGACACCCCCATTCCCCTCCTCCACTGCCCCATTCCTCTCTGCCTACACACACTCCCTGCAGATGTATCTCGCACAGCAAGCACCCATCTCCTCTCCGTATCAGAACGGGCCCCTACCTCCCAGTCTTTGCTGCTTGCCCACCAATCGCAATACCAGCAACAGCAGCTGCTGCAGCAGCATATACTATGGCAGCAGCAAATGCAGCAGTTGCAAATGCAACAGCAGCAGCAGCAGCAGCAGCAGCTACAGCAGCAGCAACAGTTTGTTGGTGGTATTGCTGTCAACTCAAACAGTGTGCAAGATTGGCTGCAACATGCCCAAGTGGGCAGCCGTAATGATGTCAATGCATCTGCTGTTGGTTACACTACAGCAAATAGCTTCACTCAAGCTAGAAGTGAACTCCGTCAAGGTGAGCCCTTGATACTACCAAGAAATGAGGAAGAGGGGAATGTGTTTGAGCAATCTCCATTAGAAGCAATGCCAGGGGATCCTGGTGATAGGGGGAAGCAGGGGCGCAAGATCATGGATTAGACCTAGTTCTCAACCTTTAGTTGAGTTAGTTTAAAATGCCCTAGGGAAATTACACATTGCAATTGTAAGTATTGTTGTGGCAATTATTGTTGCTTTAGTATTTTTATTTCACAATGGAGATGCGCTTCAAATTCTGAACCTTGGTGAGGTTGGGCTTGTGGGATCTTCTATTACTACGGGTGCAATGGAACGAGATAGCGAGGATTGCACTAGGTGTCAAACGAGTAGTACCAAGTATGAGCGAAAGTATGGGCGAATACTTATACGCGAAACATGCAAACGGTAACGCGGTGCGTGCGAGCTAGCTAGTGCTAGGCTGGCATCGAGGTTCGGGCTAGTCCCGAAGCGTAGGCCGACACGGCCGGGCCAGCAATGCATAGTTTGGTGAAACAGTGCGCGCGAAGTTGGCGAAGCCCTGTTAGCAGTAACGGGCGAACAACGGCTCCTGCTGTACGCGATGTTGGACGACGCAGGAAGGGATGCCGGAAAAAATCCCTACACTACACCCCCCCCCCCCCCCCCACCCCCCCCCCCCCCCCCCCCCCCCCTCAAGAAGCCCCCTCCGCTACGCGAGTGCGTGCATATCGCGAAATCCCCGGCTCCTCAGGTACAATTGCAGGGCAAGGTGGTTTTCAATGTTTGCTAGGGGCACCCAACTATCTTCAGTTGTAGTGCGGTCCTTCCAGCAAATGAGGAACTCGATCCTTTTTATGTCTGTGGGATGGCGAATCCGATGGCTCAAAAATTTATCGGGCTCGACAATTGGCTCGGCAAGTCATGGATGGTGGGCGGTGTGATGAGGCAGTGGCTTGTGATCGGGATGTATGGGCGAAGCAGGCTGACGTAGAATGATAGGCTGATGTACCAGTCGGTTGGCAACAGTAAATGGGCGGTAACTGGGGTGATCATGTGGCTGATTCTGAACAGTCCACAGTAACGCGGTCGCAGTTTTGGTACGACGGACAGTCTAAAGGTTTTGTGTGTCAAGAAGTATATAATCCCCGAACTGGTACGTTACCCGGGTGTCAGAATCTAGCAGCAGGAATGAATGAACTAACAGCATGCAGGAGTACAAGCAGTAAACCCTAATTGGGCTGTACCCCATATGGGCTACCCCACTACAGCCTAGACAATATCCAGCATATATGTTTGACACACCCCCATAGGCAAAGTGGGGGAGAACAAGGGGTCAAACGACCAGTCAAGAGAAGCAAAGCAAGCTCAGGGTGGATCTCAACGTCACCACACATTCTGAGCACAAGCAAAGGCCACAAGGCCAGTCCACATGCAGAGATATATATGCAACAATAACAGTACAGTGATGACTACCTAGCAAGAGCAAGCATGCATGTATATATATAGATCACAGTACAAGCAGAAACTACAGCAAGTGTGGAAGCGTAGGCACAAGGCCTAACAGGGTACAAAAGCGCTGATGATCACCAGACGGAAGTGCCTTGGTGAATATATCAGCAGTGTTGGCCCGAGTGGCCACGTGACGAAGACGAAGCTGGCCTCGCTGCTGCAACTCTCGAGCCAGGAAGTAACGCAGAGCAATGTGCTTCGTTCTGTGCTCCAGTCTGTGCTCCTCACACAAGGCAATGGCGGCCTTGTTGTCGACGTACAGCACTGGAGGAGAACGAGGCTGCTCTCCCAAGTCAGTCAGCAGGTAGGTGAGCCAGCGTAACTCCTGTGCAGCCATGGCTGTGGCGTAGATCTCAGCCTCACAACTGGAGCTGAGAACTGAAGACGAGCGTGTAGAACGCCACGAAACTGAACCAGAGCCAAGGCTGAAGGTGTAACCCTGTGACGACCGCTGAGTAGCCATGTCGTCAACCCAAGAAGCGTCTGAGTGCCCAGTGAGGACAGCTGGGCTCGTCCCTCCAAGCACTAGCCCCATGCCTGATGTGCTGCACAAGTAGCGCAGTACCCTCTTAGCAGCAGCCATGTGCTCAGGTCGGTGCCGACCAGGAGCCACGTAGCGAGCCAGAAGACCAAGAGGGTACGCGAGGTCAGGTCGAGTGCAAGTCATCAGGTACATGAGGCAGCCGACTAGCTCTGGGTAAGGACCACTCGGCTCTACGGACTCGTCCGAAGGTGGAGCTGAGAGCGTGTGACCTGTAGCCAGAGGAGTGGCCTGTGCTGAAGACCAGGTGAAGCCGAAGCGCTGAAGGACCTGCTGCACCATGTGTGACTGAGTCAAGGTGATGGTGCGGCGTGCTCGGTCCCGGGTGATCTGCAAGCCAAGGTAGCTGCGCAGCTCACCCAAGTTTGTGCACGTGTGTCTCTTCTGCAGCTCCGACTTCACGTGGGCGAGAGCCTCAGTGTCAGCAGTGGCAAAAACCAAGTCGTCGACGTACACGAGGATGTAGAACGGCGGCAGTGAAGTGTCGGTGCGCAGAAACAGCGACGGGTCAGCAGTAGAAGGCGCAAACCCAAGAGCCGCAAGCGTAGTCCTCAGTGTGTCGTGCCACTCACGTGGTGCCTGGCGGAGACCGTAGACCGGCCGCCGGAGGCTCCACTGGGTGCCAGGAGGGAACGACCCAGTGAAGCCCGGGGGGCGGCGCAGCCAGATCTCCTCGTGCAGGCTGCCCTGTAAGAAAGCTGTGCTGAAGTCAAGAGAGTGAAGCTCGTAGTCACGGTGAGCAGCAACATGCAGCAGCACCCGAAGAGTGGTCATCTTCGGGGTGGGGGAGAAGGTCTGGAAGAAGTCAACTCCCTCTCGCTGACTGAAGCCTCGAGCCACGTAACGCGCCTTGAAGACAGGCGGAGAACCGGCGGCCGCTTCACCCTGAAAATCCACATGCCACTGACGATGTTCGCCCCAGGTGGGGGAACCTCGTCGACATAGGTGCCTGTGGACTTCCAGGAAGCCATCTCTGCGTCCATGGCTGCCTGCCACTGAGAGGAGTAGGGACCCTCTATCGCCTCTGCGTAAGAGCGCGGAGTCGGGATGTCTGGTGCATCCGGATCTCCCTCAGGGCAAGTAGCAAGGACACACGATGAGAGTAAAGTAAAGCAGCAGCGAGACCACGGAACTCCTCCTGCCTGTCCTCAAGGACGTCCGTGCTAAGAGCACACTCACCCCGACGGACGGAGGACAGACAGACTCAGACTCAGTAACAAGACTGGCAGTGAAGTCTAGACGACAGGCAGCAGCAAAGTCAACAAGCTCAGCGACAAGAGTAGACGCAGCAGCAGACTCAAACGACGGGTCAGTGACAACTGTGGCTAGTAGACGCGTGACAGTAGGGTGCTCAGCACGAAACCGGTCAGACGCAGGGTCCGGAACGTCAGGCAACGAGGACGCAGGAGGAGAAGGAG